CTTATTTTAAAAGGGTTTACTGTTAAATGAAGAGATTTCTAGAAGCTAAGACTATTTTCAAGATTTCTTCAGGATTTTCCTTGTGCAATTTACATCTTAGGCCTTGGGACGCATAACAACACACTGAATAAAACCAGTGTTAACCTGATAAGAAACATGGTATTTCCATACCAACTGCACAATGCCAGTGTTTATATCCCAGAAGCAAACTTCAAGGGAAAATAATCTCTGTCCAATTTAATTGCAGATTGTTTTTACAAAATCTACCATCACACAGGTATCAAATTATACTTGAAGAATTTTAAATGCTTTTTCCATAATTTCCAAGATTTAATAAAAGAAAAACACTGTATTCAAGACCACATTTACTAAGCTGCTCCCTATACTGACTGTACCACAGAGCCTCCAAACACAGTGCACACAACTAACTCCTGCTCTACATTTATCAGAGAGGCCATCGCTATTAAAGCAAGTGAGCTTTGCAGGTACCTTCAGGATTAGCCGAGAGGCATGTTTCACTGTACACTGTGTATTTCGCAGAAAGACTACTCTTATTTCTGCGCCACTGCAGTAATAACTCACAAATCAACAAGCTAAAATATAAGCAAGTTATTGTGTTTCTGTCCACTCAAACAGCATTGAACTTTTTAAGGTCAAGGACAGAGAGGAAAGCAAAATGATGATAAACTATTTTAAGAATGAAAGTAGTTGCAGCACAGATATATTAGTGACAAGAAGGACATTGAAAATTATGGCCCTGTTACACTTTGTAACATGGACAAGACTTAACCTCCTTTTTATGGAGAAAGATCCAGACTATGGCTATGTCCTGCCCATGTTAACAAATTTTAACTGCTGTTAAGAGATCCTTCTAGTGTAATAGAAACAAGGATCAGAGCAATGGCGCTCACAACAAACAGCTAAGACTGTGATTGCCACCTTGCACTTCCAATATGAGAAGTAACTCCTCATGCCTGTGAAGAAACATTTAAAATTTGAACCATAAATAAATGAAAATTATTGCAGCAAACTCTCATTAGTACGGTATTAACTGCTTTTGCTGACCACTGCAGACAAAGTTAAGGTCCTAGCTACAATGCAAAACCAATCAAGCTGGTGGAAATGATTTATGTGCTTTGGTCCTGCAGTATAGGCAGAATCTGTCTGCACCAATGAAGCAAATCATCATGATAATATAGATCAGAGACACTTAAATCCTTCTCATCCCCTCAACACAGTAACTGTGGTATGATGCATTATGGCAGCGGGGCTCAATCTGCAGTTGCAGAGCCATGGCATCCTACCTGTGGGGCTCCCCACAAGTTGGGAAATTTGTTAATGGGAGAGCGGTGGCAATTAATACTGCTACCCTCCTCTGATGCCAAATTCCCAATCCTCGTGCGGCAGGTCAGAGCTGGGCCATACCCTCTCACTCCACAGAGCCAGATCAGGGCCCAGCCACCCCACCCCCACTTTCCCATGGGTCGAGGTTGGGGCCAGGCCATGCTCCTTACCCCACAACATGGCTACATGGAGCCCCACTGCGCCCACTCCAGGCACTGGATCAGGACCACCAGCCATGCCTGTGGAAGGACTGGGCACTTCCCATCTGGTTTGCTAGGCAAAAAGCTTGAGCACCAATGCACTATAGTAACAGGGTCCCTGAACTCAGTTGATTTTACACTGCAAACACAACCTCCTTAAAATAGTTTTACATGGAAAAAGCACTACTGACAAGGGTTCACCCCTCAAATGGATTTATAACAGTTTCAAAAGACTTAAGATTTCTGGCCAACTTAGGATCAGCTAAGATATTGTCTTTTATGCATGCTAGATTTAAATCGAGTCTAGTAACACCGGATGGAACAGACCTTGGGACCTGAAGCAAATTCATACTCTCAAATTATGCTATACAACTGTTACAGACAGATGTACACATCCAGAAGCATTTGCTAGCATGGAATTTTCAATCGGTCTACAAGTTTACAGTACTTCATATACTTATTAAGACGCACCTAATCATCTTGAATTAGGTTAACATGACTATTGATTTGAACAAAGGTTTTTTTTCAATCTCTCACAGATTTGAAGACACCACAATCATGTAAAAAAAAAATCAAATGGTTAAAGAACAACCATCTACTTCCCCCCTCCCCTCAAACACACTAAGATCCTGTCAACATTCAGTAAAACTGGGAGAATTTTCCATTTTCTTTTCTTCATTATTTTGCAACGTCTATAGTGATGAGAGATTTCCATGAACTTCCATGAATCAGCTCAGACATACACCTATCAGCCTTATTTCCAATGTGACACTAAGCAGAGCTAAAAGATGAGATGGTCACTATAGAGGTGTGGAAATAACTTGCCAATGCAAAACCAAAAACACTTATTAGCACTTTTTTTTGTTTGCTTATTTTTTTCTTTTAAGATGCCCACTTGACTGACCACTTTTCATTTATAAATTAAAAGGCAGAACCATTCTTACCATTTTAAACACGTTTTATCATTGTAGGCTTCCATGTTTTATTATTCTTTTGTGTATTGATAATTCTTTTTAAGTTGTCTTATTGGCAATATTTTACATTTTTTTATGCCAGTACAATCCAGGGAGGTCCACTTCCTTGAACCCAGTGGTGCTCAGCTTTTTTCTCTGGTGGGCTAGATGGACAGTGTCTGGTCCCTATGTGAGCTAGTCCAGCTGACAGTCTCCATCTGGTGCTCAGGTCAGGCACAGCAGGCCCTATCCAGCCTTATGGGGGATATGGGCTTGACTTGGTCCTAGTCCAGCCATGGAGAGGGGAAGGGGACAGAGGTGGCCCAGTCTTGATCCAGGCACAGGGGGGTTAGGGTTTGGGAATCTGGCAAGTGGGAAGGGTGGCAGTATTAATTGCCACTACTCTTCCACTGCATTGTTTCCTGATCCATGGGAAGCCCCAAGGACTAGATAAGATAGCTCTGTAGGCCACATTTGGCCTGTTGGCTGGAGGTGAAGCACCTCTGCTTTAACCTAATGATTCTTAATATAAAAACATGCTCTCCTATGAACAGTGTTTAGGCTTCGGAAAGCCAGTGCATTAGATTTCTATAGATTACCCACTCCTACCCTTGGTCCCTTTCTACAAACTGACAGTTTACAGAGCATGGGACATCATGGTAGGTAGCAACAAGTGTCCAGAAAATAAAAGATGCATCGCTCAAGTCATGTGCTGTTTGAAAATAAGCAATACAATGAAGGTACATAAAGTGTAGACAGTGAATTGCAATGGCATTCAGAACTTTATACAACACTTTTCTTCAAGCTGCTGTACAAAAACTCCTTTCAGTGAAGCCCAGTTTCTTCAAGCTTTGTGCACAGGAGAGGATTTCAGGAAGCTTACAGAAACCATACCCTTCCTTAATGTACTGAGTTTATTTCATTCTTTCATTTACTCATTCCCTCATTTTAAGGCTTTGTTTCAATATTATGACTGAAAATCCTTGATGTGCATTTCAGACCATTCAAATCGTATTACACAACTGTGCTGCAGGAGCACTACACTACTAACTTCTAATTAACCAGAAGAAAGATAAGAATCAGCTCACAGAATGTAACTTGAGGAATATATAACCTTATTTGGGTTATGGGTTGCTATTTATGCATTTAAAAGGTTATTGAAACACCTTAACATAAACTGCCCTTTGGTATGTCTGTAAGATTGTTACAGAAACTCTCCTTAAAGAGAGCTCCGTGAAGAAATCCTTAACAGCTCCAAGAGCCTGTAATTAAAGTTAATGCCAATTCCAACCAGTGTACAGTTCATCATCTTTACCTCTAAGACTGTGGCAGACACGGTATGGGCTCTAGAAGGGAGTAACTCCACAGCAAACCAAGAGACAAAAGTACCTTGTCTCTCGGCAGTGCCTGGTAGAGATGGCGCTGTGCTCCCAAGCACTGTATTGCTCTGGAGCCTTGGCTGATTCACTCAAGAGGAGACAACTTGTTATTCCAGAGTAAATCAACTTAACAGCATTCCAGTCAGGGTATGTCCATACCGCAGACTATAGTATAGGCACCAAAGTAAAAATGAATTAGTCTAGGCAGAAGGCAAGGAAGGACAAGGTAGCACCTTACAGTTATAACACTAACTCATTCAGAAGCTATTAGCTTTTATATGCTACAGCCGGCTTTCAGACAGCATCTGATTACACTACACTACCACTGCAGTTTAGAAATACTTCCATGAAACAGCTACTCTTGATCCTGCAAATCTTCCTGCTAACCCCCCTTCCCTCCTCCAAATGCTTTTTGGAATCTGGCTCAGACCCAAATCTACATCTCCTTCTCACATCACCATCAGCTATCCTGCCAGAAGCAGCACAGACAAGCCTTCTGCTCCCTCTTCCAATCCCCCCAACTGTCCCTGTCAAGTTCACCACTATTTTTATCTTCTGAGTGTAGCACCCGCCCCCAACAACATTTTTAACTGTTTCTGCTCACTTCCAGGTCTCCCCTTTTCTCTCAATTCTACTGCCTTGTATCCTACCTCCTGTTGCCTTCCCCTACAAGTGGGTATGAGCACAGTTTTGCCCACATTCAAGTAATACACAGGATCCACTCAAGTGCCCTGTGAATACATCTCATTCGCTTTAAGAAAATTCTGCTTTCTCTGGCCCAGATCCACTTGCAATTCTTCAGCCTGGCTGGCCTAGTCAACTGCAATTGTTCCTAGAAGTGCCAATGATTTGCAGTGTGGGTTGATGCAAGCCACTATAGGGGTATATCAGTTTCTCCCTTGACATTTGTAAATGCAGACATAATACTGTCTTCCTTAGAAGCATGCTGGAGATTTTTAAAAACTATACAATGAACTTAATATTCAGTTGACTAAAAAAGGTTGCCTGGATCTACACTTGCTTACTAAATATTTAAGGATTGTACAGCTAGGTCAATGAAGAAGCCACAAGATCATTACTTGTTTGTACAGGAGGCTCTCCCCTCACACAAAGCATCAACTAACCTTGGATGGATTGAATGGCAGCCCCAAATACGAAGAGCCTCGGAAGCCACAGCGATTCAAGTTTGTTCCTGGAGAGGGGAGGGGAGGGAAAAAAAGAAAAAAAAAAAGGAAAAAGGCAACTGATTTACTTTGATGAAACTTAAATTTTGGCCAGATCCAAGATATGTTAGCACTAAGTATCCATATAGTTTGTTCTTGTCCTTTCAATACTGTCTAATTTCAGCATGTTACTCCTGTAACACAATTTTCTCCAGAAAGATAATAGTGCAGCAGAAGGTGCTTTATCTGCTTCACATATCCTGTTTGTACTAGCATGGAATTTCCTCCACTGTTCTTAGTACCTCCTAGAAAAGTGTCTACCATGTGGATAAAGCTGTTTGCATTTAGATTTCTATCCAGTAAGACTTGCTTTTCACAGCACCCTTATTTAGTTGCTTGATGTACATGAATGCAGAGATGACTTCTATGGTTTTAAGTGGGCACTGACTAGACCATTTCAAAATAACAGGTAGGTCACTACATTGAACTACAGAAGTATCTAATAGAGACATTGTGAAGAGCTAACGGGACTGCTCTCTCTATCCAAAATACATATGGGTGTATTTTTCCCCAAGAAAAAGCTGCTTGCTTATTCAAATATGGAACTCTTGTTGAAGTTCTCTATATCATGTTCATCTTTATGGCATGAATACCTAGGATAGGTTAATATATTTTCAAATGAAGCATAATGCTAGCCTTTTAGATAGCTGAACTATGCTTTGAGCTGCAGCAACCCAAGTCCTTGATTTTAAGTCTCTGGAGGTACAAAGCTAGTGCTGAGCCCTATATTTTAGTGTTCAAATAATAATAAACATAAAAGGTTTATACTCTGGACCTAAAACTCCCCATCTATACTATAGAAATCTGAAACAAAATAACTACAATGTAGTTACAATGATGCAAACTCCCAATATAGATTTGTAACAGGGAGCTCCCTTTGTACACTCCCCTTCTGAGCATTGATATAACAGAAGCCCCTTCTTGCCTGCACCCCCTCCCCTTTTTGTGCATTTCTTTTTCCTTCTAAGTACTGGCAGAGACCTAGCACACTCATTGCATGGGTGTGGCAAAGCTCAGAGCAAGCCAGAAAGCTGAAGCTGGTTTCTGTAGGAGAAACCTACAAACTACATCTACATAGCAACTGACCTAAGTGTCAATGAATAAAACAAAAGAACTAAAATATCCACTTCAAAGCAAAGCCTGTAAGAGACAAGAAAACCCAAGGTGCATTGAAAACATGACTTTAAATATATCCTGGTAAACCCAGTCCCCCTTTGATTAAAATCTATTTTCCAAAGCAAACTTCCCATATCTGTTTAAAGTTTATGCTAAATCAGTGTATCTAAGTTAGGTTAGACTGCATCTAACCTAACTCACCTGTCCCCAGTAGTCTTTGATCCTCACCACCTCACACTGCATCTTTATATATTTCTCATTTTTATATTACATCTGTCTCATGTTTGGCCTGGCATTCTGTATTTTATGTTTTATACCTTTTAACAAATGTATTCTTTAGAGAAAGTCATACCTTGCATTACTAAAATTATTATTATAAGAATACATTGGAATTGTAAATCAGTGGAATTGTATTGCTGTATTGGGCTGATCCTCTGAGTGAATGCGAGTATGTATGAGTCAGTAGGTAACTGAATGACAAAGCAATAGCCTCTGGCTGTTAACTGACAACAGTCTAACCCGAGAAACTTACCATTACAAAACTACTCTACAAGCCATTCTAAGCTAACCAAGCCACCTGAAACCTGCAACAACACATGTGCGACAACACAACGAGTCAATCAAGTCAAGGGTGGACTCCCAAAACTGCACCATCAGGCAGAACCCCCAGTGACTGACTGACAGCTGTCATGCACTACTCAAGACCCATGTGGGACAACAACTGGGTAGCCAAGATGATGCAGATCGCAGAAATCTGCCAGAAATGGATAAAAGGCAGTGAAGCGTTACCCTTAGTGGTGCCCTCCCATCCAGCACCCGATCTATCGAGACAGGACAAGCAAGCAACCACCTTCTGAAGAAGACATCACCTTGGAGGAAGCTGACCATTGACAGATTCCAGTGTCCCGGATAGGTATAAACCAACATCGATGCTATATTACTACTGCAGCAATCGCATGTGCGTGTGTAAAGTGGCCAGTACCCCTTATAACTCAAAGTCTGCATTTATGATTTTATTGGTAACTTCACATCCCGTACAATAAATAAGAATTTATTAAGATCTTGTGAGTTGATCCTTTGTAGCCAACAGACTCACTGTGCAATAATACTATTTTCCAATTTAAACACCAGTTTAAGATCCAATTTGTATCTAATACAATTTATATGAACATGCCTGAGTTTGTACCAGTGTAAACACTTCCATGCCATTAGACTAGTGAAAAGTTTATTTATCAGAGAGGTCCCTAGATCTATTATGTTTATAGCCATTATTCTGAAGTGCAACGAAGTGCTTACTTAATGGAAAGAAATGCCTGCAATTTCGAAAACCTCCGCTGCCCCGCCCAAGCTGAAAACTATATGAATAGAAATACAACAAAGGTCAGTTCAGTTTAAAAAGCAATTGGTATCATCTGTTATAGTATATGGAGATAAAGATAAATAAAATGCTGAGGAAGAAGGAAGCTTTGGTAATTTTCTCTTCACAAACCCCAAAATTAATTGTAACCACCACATTAATTGTAGCACACCCTATTTTAAAATCATAAAAAATAAACTTTCAGGAGCAAGGAACAAAGTTCTTAGAGACAGATTCTTTACCCATCTTGCAGGCACACCTAGACGGCTCACTAAGGACTGGGTCCTCCACTGTGTTGGGTCCCATACCTTAAGAATACAGCAAAAGAGGCCTCTACCCAAAGAAGTTCAGACTGAAGGAAAAGGAGAACTAGGACAATTCGTGAAAATGAGATCACAAAGCCACCTAAAATTGCTGCCATACAACTGAGTGTTTTCTGATGGTTCCACAGCCTAGATCAGGGCTGTCCAACATCTAAGTGGCCAGGGCCACATGAGCCACACCAGTGGAGGCCACATTAGCATGAACCGCACAGGGTGCAGGCCCCTCACTTCCCCACCACTTCATTGCACATGAAGGCAGTCCCCTCACTTTCCTCTCTATGACTGTGGGCTCCCCCACTGCCCTGTGTGGTGAGCTGTACCACACTGCCCCCTGGGGTGAGGCAGAGAGCAAAAGCTAGAAGAGGGACAGGGAGCCTGGAGATCCTGGAAGCTGCTGGGAGTAGCAGCAGCCAGGTGGGAGCCAGTTGAAAAGCCCTGTCCTACATAATTTCCTAAAATAAATAAGATCAGCTGTCCTAGACTGGACACAACCAAAACCACCACTGGCTAGACTTAAAACTAAATCAGTGACATGTTTAGAGTACATGTAATCAAGACAGTACACTTGGAAATTACCATTCTACCGTCTCGAGATCATTAATTTTAAGAGTAGTAAGGGTGCACAGATAAAGATTTTCTGGCCCAATACCAATGGCCAATTATTAACGAGCCATATCAGCCTTTACCAGTCTGATTTCTGAAATGCAGCCAGGCAGGTTGGAGAGCAGCATCTGGCTGGTAAGTCTGTGGGGGGCACAGATCAAGGCCCTCCATGGTGAGGGAGAGAGTAGGGCAGGGGCATGCACTGTCCAACCGGGTCGGGGCATGGGACAGAGCCACAATCAGCTCATCGAGGGGGCATCGGGAAGGGGTCAGCGGTTCCTGCCAGTGGGCGCACCCCCAGGGGAGACAGAGGACATGTGCACTCCTGGATCTGTGCGCAGGGGCAAGGGCAGGTTGCCGCTGTGGGCTGGGGCCAGGGGCAGCACTGGACTCTTGCCGGTGGGGGGGCTGGGCCAGGGCCACACTCAGCGCAGGTGCAGGTGGTGCTGGGAGGAGGGCTACAGTGAATTTTAGCCTATCCTGTAGATCCCCACTTACCCTGAGCACAGCCCTGGCCCAGCCCCCCGCTGGGAAGATCACAGTGCCACCCCCAGCCAAGGCCCACAACAGCAGGCCACCCTCGCCCCACATACAGATCTAGGGGGCACACCTCCCTCATGCCTTCCCTGGGGGTGCATGCAGTGGCAGGAGCTGCCCCCCGTGTGAGCCGTTCACAGCTTCGTCTCCACGTCCCACCCTGCTCTGGCTCGGCAGTGCCTGCCCCTGCCCCTGCCCTAGCCCCAACCCACTCCCTCCTTCACCGTGGGGGCCTCAATCTGCCCCCCTTCCCTTCCCCGCCACAGACTTACCAGCCAGACACTGCTCTCCAAGATGACAGGCTGCATTCCTGGCCATCTGCATGCTGTGGCTATGCCCATGCATGCAGCACTTAACAGTGACATTATCAGCCACATCAGCCAAAAAAGCCAATCGTCAATAATGTCAATTTTCCTTTTATCAGTGCCGATACTATATGAACTGATGTATCAACACCTCTAAGGAGTAGAGAATGCTTTTCTTTACAATTTACAAAGTGTTATGGTGATAGGATATAGCTTGGTGCAAATACCATATTTACTCAAATACAAGATAACAACCCCCGCTCAATAATTAGATTCTATATATGGGAAATGTATACATTAGATATAATTTTTGAGGTATAGAACCTAATTATTGGACCTTGAATCTGTACCCTTCCTACTGCTACAGCAGGGAAAATAGATCTGGGGGGGCCAGGTCACCCCTTTGTCCTCTACCACCCCTGAACTTCTTCCCCCTGTAGCCCTTTCCCCCACCACTTACTGTTAAACCCTAATCTTACTGAGCACATGGAAGTGAGAAGCAAATTAAAAAAAAAAAAAAAACACCTGACTTAGACTTAGCTCATCCAGAACCCAGGTGCTAATTAGTCCCCAACTCATGACTGCAATTGAGTGTTCTTGTTCTGAGTCCTAGGATATACTCCAAAAATGTATATGCACAAGGCGTATAGTAATCTGGTCCAGCTCAACCTTACAGAGGGCAGGGCCACACTAATCATACGTGACAGGCTGAGAGAGGGGCCAACAAA